TAAATTAAAAACCTTCAGCTTGGCAGCCAAATGATTCCTTCACACCAACTGTGCACGAGCTGATGCAAAGGCCATGAAAGCACAGACACAGCCTGGTGGTTAATGGTGAACCCTGCTCAAGATGTGTCAGAGTAGGAACAGCCTTGTCACACACACACATTAAAAAAAAATAAATTAAAAATTATTCTATTGATTTTACTGGAAACTGAATCCACTGAGGGGTCAGCCTGAATGAAAGCTGTGACACTGCCCTGAGTCTCCCAGCATAAGTTAATCCATATCTCAGCAAAGCACAAACAGGTTCTCAGAGGTGAAGTTCTCATGAGCTTTGTGTAGGTGTATCTTCACCAGATGAACTCATACTTTATAGAATAATCTACAGTAACCTGAGGAAAGCTAGTACAGAAGTGTTGGACAACCCTGACGCAGAGAACTCTGAAAAAAGTATTTCCTCCTTAGCCAAGTATGTTTTCACAAGTCACAGTGATCATAAGTTAGTGATGGCCCCAGATCCAAGGGAAAATACCACCCCATTGCATGGGGAAGACTCATTTCCAGCTTCCAACCACTTGGCTGCCTCTTGGCACAGAATGGTCCAGATTAAAGCCCTGGTCCAATCATCCTCCAACTCCAGTAACACTCAAACCCAAATGTCTATTTTGCAGCCATATCCTAAAAACTTAATCACAGCAGCCACAGTGATGACCTGAGATTCAGCAAACACATCAGTCATTATGAAAGTGATGCTGGGAGTCAAGTGGAGCTGCCAGTCCTTGGAGAAGAGGTGAGAGGGTGAGGTGGCAGCGTAAGGCCACCACACAGGACTGATAGGAAGAAGCAGCTCACTGTCACACGAAGGAGCCCATGCAGAAGTGGTGCTTATGGATCCCTGCAAATACTATTACTACCCTTGTCTACCTCTAACCTAATTTCCAAATGATATTTTAAATTGTTCTCATTTAGCCATCCACCTTGATGAGAGGTCTTGGAGAAGCAAAGCAAGGGCACATCCCTGTATTTGCTTGACTTTTCACATACCAAACTTGTGTAGCTTCTTAGATTAACAAGCCCATGTACATAACTCTCCAGAAATCCCCTTTCAGAAGACAAGTGTCTAAAGGCAAAGTTATTCCTGATGTATTTCAAATGTGACAAAAACAAAAAGCTACTTTCAGGTTTAACCTTCATCTGACAAGGTACCAACCGTTACCTCAGCAATTACACCTCACCCCCTAAATCAGTGTATGGCCCATGCCTCACTGTGCCAGCTCTCCCTGCTGTCCTGAACACAGTTCTTCCTATTTTGTGCTTGTATGTTAAGCAGTTAAAAAGCTTTATCTTTAACAAGATATTAATCTTAATATTATCCTAATATGTTTCGTCTTTTCCTGCCTCTCATGCAGAAATCAGTCTTGACAATAGCGACTGAGATAAGGACAGTAACCAGCAAGCTTCACAATAAGCCATCATATACACTATTTTAGTTTGTCAAAACAATTAGTGTTCATTTTGGCTTTATTCAGTTAAATCTGCAGTGACTGATCAGTATAAATTATGTATTAGGCTGCCCAGCTGTACTTGTTTATTCATGCATGGACTTGAAGAATTTTCATTTTCTCAGTACAAAAAAGCAACAGCCAAAAAAATCCCCCGGTATTCCAAAATATAAAGACACTTTCTTCTCAGCCACATTTCTGCTACATATTTTTGAAGCTGCTTTCTTCTTACTCTGCTTGTTTCAATTAACCTATTATTTCATTTGCAGTTATCGGCAGCTGCATTTGCATCGGTAGTAAGCACATACTGTTACTTTCACCCTTTGCAATTACCTCCTAAGCAAAGCAATATCAGAGCTAAACCAAATGATGTTGATTTTAAAAGCATCAAAAATCGCATTGTTGGCTGCATTTGAACTCCTGCCTCACTTCAAGAAGAACTGCTTGCAGAAATGTTTACACTTAAGCCTCACAGTCCTCTCTTTCAAGAACAAAAGTTTGTGAATCAAGAGAGATCATTTTCTGCTGTTGTTTGTGTTTATAGTCACACAGTCCTCGCTAGGACAACTGCGTGAAAGCAATGCACGTTGAGGGGATGGGATGATACACTTGTATACAGGGAGAGAGATGACACAGATTTAGAGAAAGGAAAGAAAAATCTGCAGTGACCACGTACAGGGTCAGTTACGCTTCTCCGAGACATGGTGTGAGCAGAATGGAAATCAGGCTGTCGAAGCTGATTTCCTGTGATTAAATATCGGCAAATTGCACACTCCAAACCAAAGGCACCCTCTGCAAAGCCGGGTTCAAGAACTTGTTAACAGAAGGTTTATGCCAATATTTACAAATCACAGAAAGATGTTTTGGCAGCTTTGACACGCAGACTACAGTTGCTCAGTGATGGACAGGCAGGGTGAATGGTGGCAGTGCTCAGAAGAACACAAAGAGCCAGAGTTTGTGTCCTCCTGAAGAGCTGGGGAGCACAGCAGAACTTGTATGTGTTAATGGGAATGCCATTCAATCTCCTGGTCTCTAAGGGGAATCAAAGGAGCCACCTGGGTGGCTCTTGGGCATGTTTAGAAAAAAGCATGCTGCTGAAATACCTCTATAGGGCAGAGTGCTCTAAGTGGAGAGAGCCAGGTTGGAAAAGGCCATCCCCCAAAGCTGGGCTCAGGTACAACGTACCTGACAGGTAACAGAATAGTTTTCACGTTGATTATCCACGATAAAGATTGGCAAGCTCAGTGTTGCAGTGATCTGCAATATCTCTGTTATAAAAGTGCCTTTGCACAGTGAATTCTGCCCTGGTTTCGGTGGCCACTGTGCTCATTTGCTTCAGTGAGGAGCCCGGAGCCCTGCACACAACCTGCCAGCACAAACAGTGCCAGGGACAACTCCCTTGGGCTGTGAGCACAGGTAGGATGAGCACACAGCTACCCTGCTGTTTCTTCCATCAAATAACATAAGGAATGTTCTTGTGAAAAGACTAAATTTTGCTGAATTAAGTAAGTGCTTTAGAACAAGTGGTTTTATTACTTTATAATTAGCATAATTTCCCCCATAGGGATTCTTGCAATTAAATAATTAGCAGTAATGTTACCCAAAGGTGTTCTTTAATGAATTTTCTGAAGTTACTGCCCCCGCTAACAACAACTGACACGGCTCGGCTTTACACCGCTTGAGCGCTCCGTCCTGCCAGGCTGCAGGCGACGTCAGAGGGCTGTCACAGGCGGCCCTGAGCTCCGGGCCACTCCGCTCACCCCGGCGGGGCGGACACGGCTCCGGTGCCCCGCGGGCAGCTCCGGGCTCCCTGTGACCCCGACGGCGCGGGCAGCGGGCTCCGCTCCCGTGCTGACCGCGGAGAAGCCCCGCCGGTACCCAGCTCCGACAAGGGCCGCTGTGCCGGGGCACGGCGCGGGTCCGCCCGCCGGCTCCCGGCGATGGGGGGGACAGGGGCCGCCCAGGTCGGGGCGCGGAGCGGAGCGGCCCCCGGGCCGGGCCGGGCCCGCCGCGCATCGCTCGCGGACCGGCAGCGCCACCCGTCGGGGAGCGGGGCGGCGGCGGAGCGGAGCCGCTCCGGCGGGGCGGGCACGGGCACGGCGGGGGGGCTGCCCGCCGCTTCCGTGGGACGCGGCCCCCCCGCGTTCGGGGCGCGCCGGGGCGGCGGC